CTTTTTTTTTTAAATTAACACTGAAGAATAAAAAAGTCAAAACACCATGGCTGGAATAATACACAAATAACCTGCATGTAGGAGACTCCAACTTACAGTGATGGTTTGGTCCAACTTGAACTATTAACTTGTTAATGGTTCATGTCGGACCAAAGCATCACAATAAGCTTCAGTTCCTATGTGTGGAGTATTTGAGTGTTAAGTTCCTATTAACCCATTAACTGTCCAACCGTAGATCTACGTTCTCTCACCCAGCACTCCAAATATTTAAAAAAAAAAAAAAAAAAAAAAGTTTCTTTTTAACTAAAGAGGGCAATTTCTTGTGTGTAATAAAACCCCAAAAAAAAAAATTTAGGACCAGTACTTACCGAGATATATGGCCTTGAAGTTGGTTCTGGATGCTCACCTGACAGCAACATGGAGTCCTGCAGCTTGCAGATATAATTTTTTTTGCCGATATACCTTTTTTTCTCATTTTTATATTATTTTATACAATTTTTATGTACTGATAATTACAATTTATAGTAGTTTTTGTGATTTCATAGCCAATCTTTGTTCCGACACTAATATTAGGTACTGAAATTTGTACTCAAAGTCACAAATGCAATGAACATTTTCAGCTGCCTTGGTCATTTACTATTGTCTAGAAATATATACCAAGTATTTATAGGTCCCAGCAATGTTTTAGACATGCTGGAGTATATATGAAACTCCTTGAAGCATGGTGTAAGACTGAGTGTCACTAAACTGCTGACAATGCAGCAGTGGTTTGGCACTTGATGATCATGCATTGCTGCAGGGAACCCCTTGTTTTGTTTGTTTTCACTGTTACACATAAACATGTCTGTCTGTCTAGCTATGTCTGCTTATTTGTTTTTCTGTCTGCCTGTGTGTCTGTCTTTCTGTCTGCTTGTGTGTGTCTTTCTTTCTGTCTGCCTGTGTCTTTCTTTCTGTCTGCCTGTGTGTGTCTTTCTGCCTGCCTGTGTGTGTCTGTCTTTCTGGCTGTGTGTGTCTGTCTTTATGTCTGCCTGTGTGTGTGTCCGTCTTTCTCTCTGCCTGTGTGTGTCTTTCTGTCTGCCTGTGTGTGTCTGTCTTTCTGTCTGCCTGTGTGTTTCTGTTTTTCTGTCTTCCTGTGTGTGTTTGTCTTTCTGTCTGCCTGTGTGTGTCTGTCTTTCTGTCTGCTTGTCCCTCTTGTCTCAGAGAGCGGTTCATGAACCAACAGGATGCAGAGTCGTCAGACTTGTCATGTCTGATTCCTGATCAAGTGAAATGTGTATTACTTGCCAGTCAGTCTTATTATGCCTTATATCTACAAGCACACTATAGCACTTTGTCTAGATATTTTGGGTTATCCTAAGTAACTTACACTATATATAATTGTATTTATGTGTACCTGTGAGACATAGACAGACAGAGACAGAGACAGACAGAGAAAGAGATATAGAGACAGAGACAGATATACAGAGATAGATAGATACAGACAGACAGAGATAGACAGCCAATCAGCCAGCTAGCTGCCAGCCAGCTAGCTGGCCAGCCAATCAGCCAGCTAGCTGCCGGCCAGCTAGCTGGCCAGCCAGTCGCCGGCCAGCCAGCCTGCCGAACATGTATTACACATTACAGAATTGTTTCTTTTTACTTAGGCCATAGGTTATAGGACTTTCTGACAGGATGACACTACCAGTGGTACTAAAATTGAAAGGATGTTGCACAAATGTTGCACATGGGTTATTATCGAGGTCTTTGATATTTCCTCGACCACTTGTGGCCACATCTACCTCAAAGCCACTAAACTCAGGGTCACCATCACTTTCCTCTTAAAAGGGGAGTGTTAACACTACATGACATCAGTGAATCCTTGGTGTTCTCAATGGTTTGCTCCAGCTGGTGCTCAACTGAACTGGTGCTCCCACAAGGTACTAAGTGGTCCCAAATATTTTTAATAATATAATAATATCTTTATTTACTACAAGTACATGTACATGGTATACAGGCCTAGCTGACAACAATGACATACTACTATATAGAAAGCCCTTTGTTATGCTCCATATGTTAGGCAAATTAGGTCAGTGTCCCAGGATGCGACCCACACCAGTCGACTCCCACACCAGTCGACTAACACCCAGGTACCCATTTTACTGATGGGGAACATAGACAACAGGTGGAAAGAAACACGTCCAATGTTTCTACTCTGGCTGGGAATCGAACCCAGGCCCTCGCCGTGTGAAGCGAGAGCGTTAGCCACCAGGCCACCAGAGCCCACTGTGCACACTGAGTGCTAAGACCCATTCTTTGCTGACCAGGCATCTCAGGCCAATTGTGCCAAATTTGGAGGCAGGAAAAATAAAATGCGGATCTACGTTTGGAGCGCTAGCAATAAGAATGTAGATCTACGTTTGGACAGTTAATGGGTTAACACAATGTATTCAATTCTTAAAAAATAAAAAAATGTAGATATTAAGTCTAGTTAAGGTTTTGCCTAAAATGCTATGCATCCTATGTGTCTTCAGATTATTGTATATTTTGTGTATGCCATAATTTGCAATAAAGAACTGTATTGCACTGTTCAAAGTGCAAGCACTGCCCTTCCCACTTCCAGGACTCAAGTCCAGCAAACTAAATCCCTGAATCCTCTCATAAATATTACCTTGCTCACACCTTAACAGTATGTCCATTAGAAACCAATTGTCAATTGTCTCCATTCACTCTTATCTGACACATACACACAAGCCTGCAGGATGCTCAAGCCCTTATAATTCAAAGCCTCTTGTATCTCCTACCTCTATTATTATTATTATTATTA